AAAGTTGGTGTCTTTTCACCCTTCTCTTATGAAAATGAACATGGTCCCTGGAGGCAGAACTTAACATGACTTGATGAAAAATGTGGCTGTACTAATTCTCTCAAGACATTTTATGTTTCAGTAAAATGATACCTAGTAGCAGACTAACAACCACATGGGCAAGCAGGATGCTGAATCTCAGTATATTTAAGATGGAATATAAGAGAATGACCAGAAACTAGAATTTCATTTTCATATGCTGTTCAATCATTTTTTTGCTTTTAGTATGGATTAATTAAAAAGATTGAGTTTGTCATTACAAGAACATGAACTTTTATTGTTATAAACTGAGGACATCAATATATGTTGTTCTGGATTTCCACCTATTTTGATGTCAGATTTCATAAATGTTATGAGTTACATATGTTAGCACATGTGGAATGGTGACTGAAGAATTTTTTTGCACAATTTAGGATGATCTTGTCCTTTTGAAATACCAGTTTAGTTTACTTGGTATACTAGGCTCTCTTTTGACATTAATGTAACTTTTGAGACTTTAAGTTAGACATAGCTTAGCTTTGAATTCTGTCCGAAAGCAATATATGGTATGCCTGTATTGTATTGGTGCTAGAGTAAATGAGGTTTTACCGCTTTTCATTTTACAGTCTGTTTTGGAATAAAAGAGGGACTGAAATGTACAGATACCATGTTTAGACAGAATCACCAGTAGATGTTGGTTATATAAAATATGTTGTATAATGAAAAATATATAACTTTTAAAAGTATGTGCTAGTAAAGAAGGATTGGCAAGATACACTGTTAGTGGAAACAGCAAACAACAATTCTTATAGCATCCTGAGGGTGGCGTTTGTGTGTGTAGATGAGGGAGCTATGTATACGTGTGTAAGTGTACCCATGGACAGTGTTGGGAAGGCTTTATAAGAAACTTGATGGTGGTTACTCTTGGGGGAGTAAGACTCTGAGGGTCTTGTGTAGGAAGATGGGCTTTCCATTGCATGCCTTTTCAAAAAAAAAACCTGTACATAATATTTTTGTTTAAAAAATAATTGCACAGTCTGTTAACATTCAGCTTTATGAAATGTGTCTAGTAGTATATGCATATACTCACAGTTATTTTAGTGATTTTTCCTGAAGATCAAAATGGACACATTTGCCGGAAAGCTTGATTTGAGCTATGAAGTTTGTCCTTAAAATCTTTACTGTTAGAGGCTCGTGTTTACTTACCATATTACTTATTTTCTTTACAGGGAGACCAAATTTTGAGGAAGGTGGACCAACATCAGTAGGGAGAAAGCATGAATTTATACGCTCAGAAAGTGAAAATTGGCGTATCTTTAGAGAGGAACAAAATGGAGAAGATGAAGATGGAGGTTGGCGACTAGCTGGATCAAGGAGGGATGGAGAGAGGTGGCGACCTCACAGTCCTGGTAAGACTTCTGTTGAGTAAAGGCACACAGGGACTGAAATAAGGGAAAGTTTGAAGGAAATAGGGATTAAATAGAAAAGATAAAGGCAGGGGGAGGGGAGCAGTCATACTATTTATGCTATCACAGTTTTATTACTGGAAAAAATTCCAACATAAGAATTTTCTACTAAATCTATTCAGTTGATTGAAATCACTTTTCTGTTTTTCTGGGACAAATAGTGTAGTGTAACAGGGAGCACCTGCTCTCAACTGCAGAAATGAGGGTTTCATTCAGTTTTGTGTAACTCTAAATCTTTGAATCTTTTTTCAGCATTCTTTAAGACTTAGAAATGTATAAAAAATACACACTTGAAATATGTGATTCCCTCCCCAACAATGGGTTTTTCTTAACAAGAAAGGATTTATTCTTTCATTTTTTCCCTTTCGAAAATATGATTTAACTTTGTTTGAAGAATAAGCTTTAAACCTAGGTCAGAAACATAGTCACAAGTTCATTCTTTTGTCTTTCTAACTTTAGAAAAAGGAGAGAGAATAGCAGTGATTAGTTCTTCTGTTTGTCTCTTAAGAATGCTTCAAACTGTTCTTCTTGGACATTAGCTATGCTGGTAATTGAAGACACTAGTGCTTTGTGTTAAAGTTCATCCCTTGCCACAGTGCTGATTCCGTGCCTCATGATAATCAGATGCAACTGTAGTTCGAATAGTGGGGTCATGCAAAACTGAAGCACACAGAGAGTATGTGCATGCCCTATGAATTTCATGTGTATGACAATATTTTATCAACCATCTGCCAGAGCAGCTTACCTTTAATACAGGAAATTATTACAATGTAAACTGTTTCTACTTTTAAAAATCAAGTTATTAGCAAAACCACTAGCTTAGATCTGGGTAGACATTATAACAGGCATTCACGGTATTGTAATGGAGTGGTAGGTAGATAGACACATACTGAAGTTAATGTTTGGGTAGAGTTAGGATGCTTTTATACCTGCTCTTCATGGCTGTCTCTGGGATGCGTTTTCTGTCATTAGTGGGCATTGTTTGCATCACAAGATCTAGATAATTTTCGTAAGTCTGTGTCCTGGGCCAAATGTTATTCTTCTCTAAAAGACATCATGGGATTTTATGCTGAGCTTGTTCTGTAGGCAGAGGGTTTGTAGACTATGTACCCAACAAGCATTCAGTGAAGAATGGATAGGATCTGGGCTGAGAGAGAAAAGAAATTCCAGCTGGTCAAAAACAAACAAGGTGAATGTTTTGGAAGATGAACAGTGTTTTTTGAGCCCAAATGTCTGATGTTGATTCTATTAAAGGGAGTTTAACAAAGCACATCCCACCCAACATGTAAAATTTGGTGATATATTATCTTCTTATCTTTTCTAAATCTTTCTTTCCCCCTAATATTTGACTTTCATGTCATTTTTGTCATCAACCTGTGTATCTTCCAGAACTTTTAATCCATATACGCATATATTTTTTCCATCACACCTGTGGCTGAAATCCATATACTTTTAAGAGACGGCTTGGGGGATATAAAGATACGTGGATCTGAAAAAACACTGTAAATGCATTTTAAAGAAAGAATACCATTCACTTTTTAAACGCAGCATATTCAAAGTATAGTCTGATTATAGCAGTTTTTATACGTTAACTCTTAGCATTTGTTAGATTATGGTTATTCTTTTATTAAGATTTGAGTAAAACTTTAAATTATTTTAACTGCTATTATCTTTACGAAAATAGTATCCAACTTTAGTTCAGATGTAGGGTCTGTAAATCAGCGGTCAGCCTTAATAAGTATCTTACATGTCTTACTTGCTGCATTTAGTTTAGTGAGTAAAATTTGATGAACTACTGGTAAGATAACAACATTATGGGATATAAAATAGGGCTTCTGGCTGGATGTGTATGGAGGTGGGACCATTAAGGACAGGAAGGCATCCAGTCTGGGAGATGAACGGAAACATGAGCCGGCTACCTAGAAGGATAGATTCCTATCATGATGCATGTGTATAGACTGTTAGAAATGAAAGCAGTACGGAGGGCCCTGGAGTTCATTTGATCATGAAGACTCTTTTTGTATAATGGCTCTAGGTTTCCATTTAAGCAATCTGGGTATAAAATTCCTTAGTTCTCATAGGAAATAAATAGTGTTTTGTTGTTGTTATATCCAGGGATGGGAGTGTGGGCATAAGATTTTGTTTCCTGAGTGGCTTAGCAGATGCTGCCTGTATTTGGCATTGTAACATTTTGCCCTTTGTTTTCCAGTTTGATTTTTAGATTACTTGTTTTTTGCAAATTTTGTCTCAGTAGTAAAAACATTTAGCTCTGGCCACATTTCTTTTTTTTTTTTTTTTTTTTTTTTTTTTTTTTTTTTTAAATCCCCCACAGAGAAAGCAATCAGGGATGGAAAATTCTAATAGGTGAAAGCCTGCTTTTCTTTTTAAGACTCTTTTAGACTCAGTTCTGACAGAATTTCCCTTTCTTTTTTTGGAAAAACACCTTAAGTAGGATCTTTTATTCTTAGGCAGTCTTTTTTTCTGTTGGAAAATGTAGATTTAGGAATGTCCCTAGGGTTATTATATGGAAATAAAAATTCCCTAGGAAGAATTAAGAGATGAGAAAGAAGGGAAAGGAGTAAGCATGTTGTGGAACAAGCAGCAGAGGGTGCAGAATTGGATTTTAGTTCTACTTTTCCATGTGTGAGTTACTTCTGCTGGCAGAGTTTTAGTTTCTTCTTAAACTATAAAATTAGGATAGTGGACTTTATAAAATCTCTGTGACAACTTTCAGCACTGTAATTTCATGAATTTTTTTGGGGGGGGGATCAGAATTACAAGTGGGAACTTGGCATTAATAAATAGGCATGATGAGTCTGATATTATGAATCGACACAAGGAGCTGATTTTATCCATAAAGAATGATATTTTCATGGGAAGAAAGAAAATGCTTTAAGATTGGGCAAAGTGAAGGCATAAACTTCAGTATGGAAAGCTGTCTAGTCCATTAAGTCTGGATGAAGAGTTGGCAGCTAATTAGTATTTTAATGAAGTACCTAGGACTTACTAAAAGTGCAAACTTGGGGCCGGGCATGGTGGCTCACGCCTGTAGTCCCAGCACTTTGGGAGGCCAAGGTGGACAGATCACCTAAGGTTGGGAGTTGGTGACCAGCTTGACCAACATGGAGCAACTCCGTCTCTACTAAAAATACAAAACATTAGCCAAGCGTGGTTGCGCATGCCTGTAATCCCAGCTCCTCGGGAGGCTGAGGCAGGAGAATCACTTGAACCTGGGAGGCGGAGGCTGCAGTGAGCCGAGATCAGGCCATTGCACTCCAGCCTGGGCAACAAGAGTAAAACTTCGTATGAAAAAAAAAAAAAGTGCATACTTGGAATACCAAGTGTCCTTTAAATGTGCTCCATTTTAAATTTATCTTTTAAAGCTTTAGAGTATGTTGCATAACTCAGTACTTAAGTACTGCTGTCATTTCATAATGGTATATATACTCTGAACTCTGAACTTGATTTAATTGCATAGTGTTATCTTTACTAGGTCAGTCCATTTGAGTTTGCAGTCAGTTGTAGTTTTCTCCTTTATTTTCTATTTTTGATTTTCTTTTTCAAATACTGTCATAAAACTTTTCTAAGGTTTGTGTCCTCCTCATCTCAGATGGCCCTCGTTCTGCAGGCTGGCGGGAACACATGGAACGACGTCGAAGGTTCGAGTTTGACTTTCGAGATAGAGATGATGAGCGGGGTTACCGAAGGGTTCGCTCTGGCAGTGGGAGCATAGATGATGACAGGGATAGCTTGCCTGAATGGTGCTTAGAGGATGCTGAAGAAGAAATGGGCACATTTGATTCATCTGGAGCATTCCTCTCTCTAAAAGTAAGAAATGTATTTTAAATGTAATGACCAGCATTCACCTTATACCAAAGCCAAATCTGCTCTTCATCTTTGGTTTTATTCTGTTGATACAGAAAGTACAGAAAGAGCCTATTCCAGAAGAGCAGGAGATGGACTTCCGGCCTGTGGATGAAGGGGAGGAATGCTCTGACTCTGAGGGTAGCCATAATGAAGAGACCAAAGAACCCGATAAGACAAATAAGAAAGAAGGAGAGAAAACAGATAGAGTAGGAGTTGGTAAGCCCTCTTCTTGCCTTTTACTTTTTTTTTTCATCATCAAACCAAAACTTTCCTAAGTTCATCTAAGAATACTTCATGTTCCAGAAGCTAGTGAGGAAACTCCCCAGACCTCATCATCATCTGCTAGACCAGGTACTCCTTCAGACCATCAGTCTCAGGAAGCATCACAGTTTGAGAGGAAAGATGAACCCCAAACTGAGCAAATGGAGAAAACTGAAGAGGAGACTCGGATGGAAAATAGTCTACCAGCCAAAGTGCCCAGCAGAGGGGATGGTATGTATTTGTGGGAACAGACAAGCTAAAATAGGATTCTGCTGAGGCCAGTGATCACTGATATGATAGGCTTCTGCTTCTAGAACTGCTTTAGGTGGGTGAATTATCAGAACAGATAATTTTACCAGTAAACCCAGTCAAACAGTGCTTCTCACATATGTGTCCATCTCAGAATTTACCAAAACAGAGTTAGAATCTGTAAGGGTAGAGCCCTGGAATCTCATGTCCTAAGGTGTTATGACATAGCCACCCTGTCCTTACTAGTGAACTGGATGTTATATCCTCTGCATTCGTTTAATTCCCATATCAGACAGTTACCTTCCTTTCATGTGATGGTTAATTATGTGTCCAGCTTACATTACCAGTTGACAAACAAAAATTGTTTGTCAAAAAGAAGCCAAGAGGAGAACATGTATGAATCTGTGGCAGAATAAGCTTAAAATAGATCTCTTTCAGTATTAAATTATTGCTTTAAGTTGCTCATATACCTTATTAGGCAATATTAATGCTCATTTCCATATTTCTTCTTGTACATATTTTAAAATGTCACTGTAATGCCTGGTGTTGAAGGGTTAACTGATTCTTTTACCATAAAAATTTATACCCTTTGATGGTATATGAGACACTGCATGATCTGGCATCTGCTTCCCTTTGTGCTGTTTCAATGCCAGTCTCTTTACCTCCCTCACCTTCTACTCACCAGCCTCAGAAGCTTTTAGGTCCTGAAATGTCCCCTGGCTTCTAGGGTTCATACCTTAGCACACCCTTTTCTCTGTTCTTGAAACTCTTCCACCCAAAGCCCCCAAGCTAGGGTAGGTGTCCTCTTCTTTTATTTCTTATAAACAAGCAGCCTTATTTCTAACATAGCATTATAATATCATAAAGATGTTTATTATCTTGTTTTCCCAGTAGGCGAATATTTTGAGCACTCAAACCAATAATTTTTCAGTTTTTTTAAATGCTTAGAACAAAGCTGAATTTTTTTTTAAAGAGGTGGGATTAACTGGGTGCAGTGGCATGTGCCTGTAATCCCAGCTACTTAGGAGTTTGAGAACAGCGTGGACAACATAGTGAGACCCTGTCTCTAAAAGCAAAACAAACAACAACAAAAACAAAACAGGGTCTCACTAGGTTGCTTATCCTGGGTCCAAACTCCTGGACTCAAGTGATTCTCCTGCCTTTAGCTTCCTGAGGAGCTCAGCAAGTATTTGAATCTGTACTCTACATAGCAGACATTGTGAGACTGGTATATCTTTGAGACAGTTTGATTTGTAGTAGTTGTTTTTCAGTTATGATATGCCCCAGAACTACTTGTACATTCTTTTGAATGTACATGCTGAAGCCTTATTCCAGGAGATTCTTGGGTCAAGTCTAGACATGTATATTCTGAGAAAGTTTCATAGATGTGCATTAAAGGTCAAAACTCTAGATTTATAGTGTGTATGGGAGATAAAACATGCATATATCACTATTTCAGGACAAAAAGTAAGATAGGGGTTCACTGTTGGCAGACTCTTGGGATGCTTCAGGAAATAGGTGGTCTCTGAAGACATCTTGGAATAATAAGTAGAATTTGGAAGTAAGTGTAGCTAGATGAATTAGAAGAAGGCATTCCAGTACTAGGGAGCAGTGAAAGCTAGAGTGAAGAAGTGGGACTGATCCAGGCTTGGGCAGGAATCAGCTCTTGGTTTTATTTGATGAAATATGAAGTGTGAAAGGAGGATATTGGGAGACTTAGTTAGAACATGGATTTGACAGCAGGTTGTGGACTATCTTTTGTTGTGATGACAGTTCGGCTTTACTGTGACCTCCTAGACTCCTGAGCAGTCATTATGTGGTAGGTAGTACACCTGTAAAGGTAAGTTGTGACAGATGAGATTTTAAAATAGAAATTGGCAAGACTTGGTCATTGACTGGATATCAGGGTAAAGAAGAGAGAAGAGCCAAAGATGACTGAAGTGCCTGAGAGGATTATGGTGCCATTCACATGAAAAGAGAGTGGAAGTTAAGGAGCACATTGGGGAAGGGAGAGAATAAATTCAGTTTTGAACACTGATTCTGAGGTGTTGATGAGAAGAAATTAAGTGGAGATGGCCAGAGAGCAGTTGTGAATGAGGGACTATAGCTAGATGAAAATAGTTTAGGGCTAGAGAGAGAATGAAAATTACAGAGATTATATGCACTTATTAGGAGTAAGAGAAAAGTGAACTGAGAATAGAACTTAGAGAAACTCCCATTTTTAAAGGATAGAGGAAGAGGAACCAGAGAAAAATCCTCAGAGGTAAAAGTTGAGATAGGAGAGTAGAGTGCAGGGAAACTAAGGAAGGGGAATGTTTTAGCTTACAATTGAGTTGATAATGTTAGATGCTACTAAGAGATTGGATGAGGAGGACTAGGAAAAGTCATTTTCTTCGGCAACTTTATGTCACTGCTTATGTTTGAGAGAGGAGCTTTAATGGAGACGTGAGAGCAGAAGTCACCTTACAGCAGGCGTGGGTAAAGTGGATACAGCATGTATAGACTGTCCTTTGAGAAAGTGTGGCAAAGAATGAGTGAGTGAGAGGAGCAGGAATTTGGAGAAGCTATCTGTAGTTGAACAAACAAGATTTCAAAAAGGAAACTGCAATTATACTAATTACTTCCATCCTCCTTTTCCTTCTTAAGAGCCTACACATTGAGAGATTAGAAATAGGAACCAAGACAAAACCTCTTTTATAATTTGTATTGGTATTGAGAAGAACATCGTGCACTGTACAGGTAGACTCCAAGTGCTTCTCATTATCCTACAACAATATATTGAATTATGTTAATCTTACTGAGCATAATCGTAGATATTTTCAGTAAAGGTTTTGATGAGATATACCATACCTTTGAGAAGATTTAGGGTGCATTGATAACTATCTTTTACAATTGGAGACATGTTACAAAAAAAGGATTAGATTGATTGTTTCTAAGAGGTCAGCCTATAACCGGGTGGATGCTCTAGTGACACAGGTAAGCCCTGGAGAAGCACCTTTTAGGTACCTTTTAACTCTTACCTTTTGTCATTAATTCTGTTGTTCTAGGAAAGAATATTGTCTCCATAGAAGTAGCTTCACTGTTCATGACAGGGTTCACATTTCCATTGGGCCCATTTAGCAGGCTGTGCAACTTGATAATGTAGTTAACCTTCATACAAGTCTCTATATTTCAAAGGATTTTCATCTGATTTTCCCCCCTAGAAATGGTTGCTGATGTCCAGCAACCCCTGTCGCAGATTCCTTCAGACACAGCCTCTCCTCTTCTCATACTTCCACCTCCTGTTCCCAATCCTAGTCCTACCCTCCGGCCAGTTGAAACATCAGTTGTAGGTGCTCCTGGAATGGGCAGTGTTTCCACAGAACCTGATGATGAAGAAGGTCTCAAACATTTGGAGCAGGTAAAAATCCTGTCATTCTTTTTTGTCTCTTCTTAAACTGCCATAAAAAGTGCAGGCCTTAGGTGAATATTCAAATACAAGAACTTTTGTCACTAGATTTTAAATACTGGAAAAATTGGCTATTTAGTGTTTATTTGTACAAGTAATTGTCTTTCAAATCATTTCATGCTTATAAGTTTCTGCTATGTGGTAGTCATTATGTCAGGTTATTTTTTGCTCTTAGGTTGCCCTTAGCTATTTACTTTTCTTTTTTCTTTTTGGACATTAATGGAATGCCACAAAAGGAGAATACAAGCAGCTGTGGATGATCACTGTGTCTTCTGTATTTATTGCTTCAAGTGTAACAGGGAAAATAGTTAAACTCTCAGAGCATTAACATCTTATTCATGTCTCTAAATTTCCCCAAGATTATGTATACCATTTTTATATGTAAAGTAAGTGATAGCTTGCTTTTCTACAAAAGAATTTCGTTTCCCTTTGGGGTGGGATGACTAGTGGCAGGAAATTCTGAAGAAAGGAAAAAGGGAGATAGTGTCTTAGTAAAACTTATAAAAGATTTTATTTGTAATTGTATTAATTGAGCCTTTTGTTCTGTTAACATCCTTTTTACAGGTTTAGTTTATACCATTTAGAGTTGACCAACAGCTTATTAGTTTAAAAAGTACTCTTAGCCAGGCAAGGTGGTGCATGTCTGTAGTCGCAGCTAGTTGGGAGGCTGAGGTGGGAGGATCGCTTGAACCCAGGAGTTCAAGAACAGTCTGGGTAACGTAACATCACATCACATCACATCACATCACATCACATCACATCACATCACATCACATCACATCACATCACATCACATCACATAAAACTTACCTCATCTCCATTAAAAACAACAAACAAAAAAAGGTACTAGTGTTGATTTGAACCCTGGGCTATGATCTCTAGCAGTTTGTGTTTTAATCTTAGTTGATTTGATTAGTAATTTTGAGATCTTGAGCAAGACTTGGCATCTCTGAGCCTTAGTTTCCCCTCTGTAAGATGGGGATAGTACCTATTTCATGGCATTGTTGCGAGAATTAAAATGTTACCTACTATATTCTTCGCATAGTGACTTTTGTAGATCAAGTAGTCCAAAAAAAAGGCAGGCACTGTTATTATGTGTACAAGTACTAATTTAGGATCGTTTGTTTCCTTGATTTTTGTTTTTCTGTTATTAGCAAGCTGAGAAGATGGTGGCTTATCTCCAAGACAGTGCACTAGATGATGAGAGATTGGTATCAAAACTGCAAGAGCACAGAGCTAAAGGAGTGTCGATTCCATTGATGCATGAAGCAATGCAGAAGTGGTATTACAAAGATCCTCAGGGAGAAATTCAAGGCAAGTTGTTCCTTTTGCCCAGTGCTGAAGTGTATGCCATTACCTACAGAATCTCTAAGAAGTTATTTGTTTAATTTGAATTATAGTAGAAAAAGAAGTCAGCAGGCTTTCTTCATGTGTACATGCACACACACAGACTAGAAATATTTCTGATTGCAGATATTTTTAGATTCTTTCCCCTGATTTTTGAATATTTGCATTGTATGTACCAGTTGAACATCCCAAATCTGAAAATCCAAATTCCATAATGCTCCATTGAATGTTTCCTTTGTGTGATGCTCAGATTTTAGAGCATTTTGGATTTCAGATTTTTGTATTAGGGATAGTCAGCCTATGTGAAAATAATTTGAATACAGCCTGGTATGATGGCTCATGCCTATAATCCCGGCACTTGGGGAGGTTGAGGCGGGCGGATCACCTGAGGTTAGGAGGTCGAGACCAGCCTAGTCAACATTCGAGACCAGCCTGGCCTACATAGTGAAATTCCATCTCTACTAAAAATGCAAAATTAGCTGGGCATGGTGGCAGGCACCTGTAGTTCCAGCTACTTGGGAGGGTGAGGCAGGAGAATGGCTTGAACCTAGGAGATGGAGGTTGCGGTGAGCTGAGAT